AGGGAAAGAAAAAAACCAAACCCAACAAAAAAAGCCCCGCGTTTTCTGTCCCTCCTTTAGTAATTGTCCATTCTCGGGCTCAGCCTTCGTACTATTCGTTTCTTAATTTCAGTAAGGTTGTAATAAGTGGCAGCATGATTGATTAAGATAATATTAATCAGAAAACACTTTAGTCTTGCTAAGCAGATGGCAAGAAAAGTGGAGCTTTGCAGTTGTCTCATTCAGACACCTTAACCTCCCTTTCACAGGACTTAATCCAATTAGCTTTTCTCCTGAGTTTCAGTTGTTATGTAAAGATCCTTTTGCATTGTGGAGAAATATGGCTTCATTGAAAAAAATCAGTCATGTTTTAATTCATCTTCAACAGATTTTCCTTAAACCACCGGGATTAAAAATAAATAAATAAAATTCACCCGCGATTCTAATTTTAAGGTAGGGGAACAGTTTGGATCCTTCACCTTCCCCCAGAAGAGCCGTGTGCTTCCATCGGGTTTAGTTCTCGTTCCTCTAACCTGTGGAGTGACCCGTGGGGGCTGTCACCAAGGCCAAAGGGCTTTCTGTCCTCCTGGTCTCCCGGAGAGGCCCCAGCCGCGGGTGTCCGGCGGGACAGCGGCAGCGCGCCCGCAGCAGCGCCCGGCCCCGACGGCCCAGCCCAGGCACGGCGCGGAGGCGCTTGGCGAGGAGCTGCCCTCGGGGTTCTTCAGCAGCCGCGGAGTGGGGCACCCCCACAGTAGGGCCACACGCCCTTCTCGCTGGGTTTGCGGTATGTTTCATCTCATCGCTTTGCCGCCGCCTTTAACCCCGCCAGGCGGCCTCCCCCCGGGTGTAGTTTCTCGAGCCGGGCCGGGAGCCGTCGAGCTGCCTGGGAAGTGTGCAGCCTCCGCCGGGCTCCCCCGCCCCTTCGCTGTGGGGCACCAAGGGGTCATTCCGGGGGGCTGTATCTGGCTTTTGGAGCTTGCCCTGCTCTCGGCCCTGCCCTCACCGCCCAGCCCCGCCGGCACCCGACAGCTTCGTACCCGCCAGCTGCCGGGGGACCGGGGATCAGCGGCACCGCGCCCCGTCTCACCCCGGAGGAGTCGGGGCTGGCAAGCGGGCGGGGGCGGGCTGGGGCCAGAGCCCGGGGCTCCCCGAGGGGCGGCCGGGGCTGGCGGGGGAAGTTTTGCGGGCGACCCCGAGCGCCCGTAGCGGCTTTCCTCGTCCGCAGCCCCACCTAGTGACATCGGCACGGTGCGTGCGGGGCGCTGCCGGAGGGACACAGCCCTCGTCGCGCTGCCCCGCAGGAGCCGTCCCACGCAGGAGAGCGGAGCGCGGGGACGCGGGGAGCCGTGGGTTTCCCGGCGGGCTGCCACTCTCCCTGCCCCGCGGCAATCCCGGGGAAGCCCCCGCCGCGCCGCTCAGGGAGCAGGAGACGAGGAAACATAGGCGCGTTCTTGGAGCGCAACTTTCCTGCCCAACTCAGTAAATATCCCTCGTGATTTCAGTGTTGGGCAAAACCTCTGCTGGCTTTCAGGCGCTGGATGGATGAGATCCTTGGGACTTGAAGCTGAGACTTAGGAGCTGATCCAAAGCCCATTAAAATGAGCAGAAAGCCTTTCAGTGCTGTCAAGGACATTGGGATTAGGCCCTTAAAGCAGTTTGTTTGAACCACGAAAAGCTGCTCCCACCGCCTGGGTTGAAAACTTTGTGGCACTGGCCAGACTTCAGTCTATCTTCTTATCAACATAGACAGGTGTTGCGGCAGTGGTGGGTGACCTTTGCTACGAGCTTGACATTTAAGAAGGATCTAGCATATTAAGCATTAATTGAAGAGAATTAATGGCTTTCATATCCTGGTTCAATTAATGAAATTATCAGTATTGATAATAAATAATTGAATGCTAGTTGGGAATGGAGCTGTGACATTTCAGAATGTATATAAGATGCTAAAGTGAGCAATCCTAGGTCCTGACTTGTTTAATCCAAACCAATGGTTGATTTTGCTTCTGAAAACTGTTTGCTTTGCTTATTGCAACACAGTAAACAGGAAACTTGCTATTGGCTTTTTTCCCTGTACTTTCCTGGAGTACTTTTCATACTTTTTTATTCAAATAAGGAGAAAAAAACCACCATGTTCTTTATTGTTTTAGAATTTGTGTTTATAAAGGCTCTAACCTGCTGAGCAGTTAGGATAAGCCAGTGCTTCTTTTGAATCCTAAATTTGATATGATATGGAGATGCGGAAGAAATACCACTGGTCCTTTATATAGTTGAACCTGAATATTTGTCCTATGTGATTTTGTATCTTACAAGATTTTGCAAATGAAAGAAATGGAATAGGAAAAAAAACCAAAACAACAAACCAGTAAAAAAATGTTTTCCTTCCTGCAAGCTGCAGCGTTTGTACGGGCAATGTTTGTGCGGCAGGACTCGATTCCTGGCAGCTCCCTCTGCCCTCAGCAGCAGCAGAACAAGGATCTAAACCCAGGTCCTGTCACTGGATCAGGTCTTCATTCCTGAGGGGGTTTTAATAACTTTGTAAAATCTGTCGGGTTTCTTAGAGGTTTTGAAATGTAGTGAAATTGCCTTGACCGAAGAAGTTCATCTTTTGAGCCTGATTCAGAGAGAAGAACAATTTTTCATTTGTCTGCTAATGAATTAATTTTAAAATTCTTAGGGAGAGGCAATTGTGGTATTTTTCACTGCTCTGAAATATTTATCTGCACTAAAGATCTTTAAGAGGATGGAAAGAAAAAAGAATTAAAAGGTTTTGCATAAGAATAGCCATAGAACCGTAGGAAACTATTTCATTTATTTAAGTTGCAGTTTACAGTTTACAGTCCTCAAGATTTTATTTGAGTGTAACCCTCATTACAAAAGGGACTCTGGATTCTGACAGATAAAACTTTTGGGTGTGGACTGTAAAGAAACCTGCAGCCTCAACTGGTCTGTTTCAGGTGCACCTTTACTATAGTAGACATATATTGAGCCAAAAACCTTATCAAAATTAGAAGTGATCATTTTGTGCTAAGATACTTGTGATGCTGCTACAGCTGTCCCACAGAAAGTCGTCAGAAGAGTATCCTGCTTCCATCAGGGTTGTTGGCTTGCTTGTCTTTAGAAAATAAAGTTGGTTTTCAGCTGGCAATGCAGCGAGTGTGCGGGCAAGGAAGGTAAGTGTAGATGTAAAATTTGCAGTGTCTATGAACATAAACACCTTTGCATTTTGTTTGCTTAATTTGCAGCTGGTTTGCAAGTTAGGACAGTCATAAAGAGGTTCATCCTCTGGAATACTATTTCCATTCATAGGATTTTAGCATGGCAAACTGAAGATCAGACTGTGGGATCACTGAAATCTGTGCCGTGAGGAAATGTTAGTACCTCTTCAGATGAAGACTTTTGAAGATGTGGCCTTAAATACAGCTGGGGTTTGATGGTTCAAAACGGTGCCTTGAGAGCAGTGGTGGGCTGTCATGTAGCTAATACAAATATAAGGTCAGTCCTTTGGGGATACTTGATGTGACACTGGAGTCCAAATAATTAGCTCACAATTCTGTGAGTGCTGAGGTTTGTGAATTTCCTGAGTTCACCCACTTGTCTGTTTCCCTGCATCTGTGCTGGATTTTCTGTTTGTTCTGGTGTGTGAAAATGAATACCCGGTACGACCTGACCCTGCTGGAGCCCAGCGTCCCGGCAGCCGAGGGGATTTGATTGCTGACATACTGGGTAGGAAGATGGATAGCCTAAAGGATATTTGATGGCTGAGTGATCCTGTAGATAACAAGTGTAGGAAGGAAGAGTATGTGGTGATGATTAAGCCAGTGGAGGCCTGTGGGGGTTTTTTAGGATATCTGGACCACTGGCATGTTTACACACATTGTTTAGAACCTATAGAATTGTACATATGTGCCAGGGAGCTTCTGGGGACTTTTAAAACTAATACAATTTTCTGTTAGAGATGGGTCCTGATCCTGCAGAGGCTCCACAAGGGAAACACCTGTTGAAGTCCATGTGTGTGCCTGAGAGAGGGCAGATGCCCAGGGTTAACATGTAATGATCCCTCCCCACAGCTAGGAATGTGTAATAACTTAATTGCAGCTATTTTACATGCATAACTAGCAGTACTGGCCTGTCTTCATTTACATTTATTTTCTCTCAGGAGATTTGAAAGAGTAGTTTATTAGCTATAAAATACTAGCCAGTGTTAGAAATGGTGCATAAAGTTGGCGTCAGAATCTTTCTTGCCTGCTGCAAGAGCTGTGGTTTCATTCTCTGCATATAAATACATATTGGATTAAATGCTTTCTACCATTCTTCCCTTTCTGATAAATTTGAAATCAGGAAAAAGTGGAGAGGGTTAAATAGAGCCTTGGTTCTCAATGCACCCAGTGAGAGAAAGCTCATTTGCAGCTAAATTTGCCTCAAGACTGAAATGGGAAATGTGGGGCTCAGTGCTGTTCTGTTTCCTTCACTTCAGCTACAGTTAAGGACTTTGTTTCCTTTTATTGGTAATTTAACTTCATTTCTCTGAGATGGAAGTTGTTACAGGAACCAAGGGGTTGATTCACAGCTATGAACGATGTGTTCCAAATTAATTAGCAGCTTATGCCAAGAATTTTGTGCAGAACACCAAATATTATCATAAGAGCAAACAATATATTTCAGATAGCTGGAACATCCTCTGAATGACTGATTCCCATGAAACTTACAGCCCTGGGAATTGGAAGCATTCATTTCAGAGTGGTAGGATGGGGACAAGTGCTGGGATTTCATCTGTTCTCTAGGCTGGCTGTAGGCACAGTCTGATGCTGCGATCATCACTCCGACTGACTTCACGCCAGAGCTTGGGTGCTCATGAACCCCATGGCAGGGACTGAGACGATTAAAACCACAGAATCCTCTTCTCTAGGGGCTTTCATTTCCTTGCTGAGATTGTACCTGGCAAAAAACCCAACAAACCCTGGTATTTGCCTGGAAGGACTGCAAGTTTCAAATGTTAGAAATTACTGCCTTTTTAAAAAAATAATAAATAAATTAAAGACTACTGTTACTAGAAGTAGAAATACTTGTCATTCACCTTCTCTTTCCTCTCTTTTTAAACTTCCACTCCTTAGAATTATACTATCAGACTCCTGTTTCCTCAGCTGGTGTGGGGCAAGACTTACAGATGTTCATATTAAGTCAGGTAAAATTCATTATATGAAAAATGTCTTATACACAAATGTAAGTTTGCAAATGAGATCTACAAGCCAACGAAGAAAAAAAAAAAAGACAGGAGCTTTCCGTTCTTGTATAGGTCTCTATGTTCAGATCTAGCTTGTGCTATACATGTAAAGCAATAAAATACCAGAAATGCAATGACAAAATTTAAAAGTAGTGAAAAAAGCTAAAGTAGAGGTACCACTAAATGCAATGTTAGAAGGGCTAACACACGTGTTTTGTTTTTTTTTTTCTCCCTTCTAGAACCCTCTTAATTGCTAAACTATTTCAGTAGTGCTTGAACTACCTCAGCTACAGCTCAGGGAAGGAAAAATGGAGGGAGAGCCCAATTCCTTAGAGGGGTCTCATTCATGAGTGGTCATCCAGTGCTGGGGGGAATCACCTGTGTTTCAGAGCTGGCTCCCCCATGGTGACAGCAATGCACACCTGATTCAAAAGACTCCACAGAACATCCTTTTGACAGCTAAGAACACTTCAGCACCCTATGACAAAGGTGCAATCTGCTGCAAAAGACCAACATCTGTGTCAGAGGCTAAGCAGGGAAGGCTGTATGTTTTCCCAATATTCTAGGATCTGGCTGAAAACCAGACCATTTGTTGATTTAAAATTCATGCTTGTAGGAAGTAGACAAAGCCCTACCCTTCAAAGGGGAAAAAATCCTCAACAACCTGACTTCTGTGGTTCCCACCCTCATCTGACACTCAGTTTAACCATGACCATGTGGCGGGATGCCCTAATTAAGCAAATGAGTACTTAATGCCATTAGCTTTTAGTACCCTACTCCTTGGTGTTGCTATCTCTGATGCTCAGAGGAAAGTAAAATACTTGCTGCTCCTTTACTCCTTAAAAAACTTAAACAACATGGGGAAACAAAACTTCCTGGCTGATCCTTAAGGTGACAGTGGCCTGATAGACACTGTAAAAAAAATATGGTGCAAGGCAGTGTAAAGGTGGAGTCCTGGTCCCCAAATGCTTTGTGTCAGGACAAAGCAGATGTGTGCTGTTCTGTGATGAGAGATGCCCGCTCCTGCAGTGGGTGTTCCTGGGTGCACGGGCTCCTGTGGTGGTGGAGGGACTCACCCACCCCTCAGCACAGCCCTTCAGCTCCAGGTCTCTCTCTGCCAGAGCAGGCTAAGCAGCAGGACAGAGATCTGCTGGCTAACAAGCTTGGCACCTCAGGGCCAGCAGGAAAGGAGCTGTGCCCAGTGCTGCATGTGAGACAGAGGTCTCACTGGGGGCAATGTGATGCAAGAGCCAGAGCAGGAATTCTCAGCATGACAGGTCTGAAATGTGTGCCTTGTGTAAGTAAGAGGCTGTTTCTTTTGGGCCTCTTGGGGTTAAGAGTAGAATGAGCTATGTTTTTGTTATCGAGGGAAATTTGGCCTTATGAGAGGCAGGATGCAAATGACACATTTGCTAAATGGTGTGTTGTGTTTGCACACCAGCCTCTGTCCCAGCTTGGCCTCTTGGGTGTTCACTGTGTATACACCAAAGTGTCCTACCTCAGAGGAGTGCTTGAGAGTCTTCCAAGGTCCATGGCAGAACAAGGCAGCTGCTAGGTGAGATTTACTCCATGCCTCGTGCAGGCAGAAAGCAGGGACTGTTCCCAGCTGGGTGCTCTGCTCCTCTGTAAAATGTGCCCTTGCTTCCCTTCTCCCAAGCAGTGGCAGTGACACATCCTGCTGGTTGGACTGCCTGGCTAGCACAGATTTTTCCAGAGCTGGAACTCACATTCCTATCCTAAATGTAGAGTCATGGGGACAATACTGATGTAGGGGCCCCTCTAATGCAAACATTTTTTGAAAATGAGTCGTGGTAGGGGCAGCAAATGGGGCTCCATTGTAATGGGGTGGGGAGAAGTGAGGAGGATTGCATTTACAGAGCAGTTTAATCACATGGATGGAGCAGCTTGTTCACCTCTCCTCCTTGCTGGGTCATTTCCACTTTGAGCTCTGCAAACAGACTGTCTATTGAGCAGTTAGTATTCAGTGCTGAATATTCAATACTAGACTCTTGTTTTGGTGAGTCTTGAGCAAAAAAAGAAGGAGGAAAGAAGACTTCTCTTTTTTCTCATGTTCCCTCCCTGAGTTTGCTTTGCATATTGTTCAGAGGAGACTGGAGTCTTCTCAGAAGAGCCAGGCTCCTAGTTTTAAAAGCACTGGTCTACTTTCATAGTACTTTCTAAAGGAAGGAAAGACAGTTTGGAAGGGACTAAATTCATACTAGTTTTACAAATCTGTAAGTCTAGGCACATCAAGACTTAGCAAAGTCTTTTTGTCAACCATATTTACACTGTAAAGTTAACAGCATGAAATGCTAGTTCTGTATACACAAATTAGTTCTTTGTGTGTGTGGGGAGTGTTACAATGATTTATTAATGTCCTCTCTGCTGGTTTTGGTAGGCAGATATTCTCTGTGTTTATTCTGAGAGCTGAGAGAAACTGTGTTCATTTGTTTCTGTCTTGTGTGCCATATTTACCCACAAAATGGTTGTGAATGATGTGATGGCTGCATCCTTTGACAGTAGGGAGCAACAGCTAGATATGGAGTAGATATGCATAAAGAGAGGAAAAGGGGCCACCATTTGAGTAGATATAATATCTCTATCCTCTGGTTCACACTCTTTTTCAGTCAAGTGATTGTCTCTTTCCTACTACTACAACTATGTCCTAACACCTGAGTCATGTATTCTGTGCACATTTGGGTCTGTCTTCTCATGTTCTTTCAGTCTGCTTGACTGGATGCTGTTTCTAATGAGAAATATTTACAGGAGAATCATTCCTTTGGGAGCTGACCTCTTTTCTCCTGATTAAAAAAAATAAAATTAAAAGTCTCTATAGTTACTTTCTTTTCTCCTATCCTTTATTTCTGACTGTGCCCTTTTCTTTCTCATTCATTCCTTTGTTTCCTTTCCCTTTCTTTCTCACCTCCTTTCCAACAACCATCCTTGTCC